GATTAAGGTCAATGAAAAGAACAGGAAGACAAAGGAAAGACAGAAGATTAATGGAATGAAACTAATAACGCACTTAGGGAGAAACGAGATTAAAAGAATGAAAGAGAATAAGAAGACTTTAGTAAAAGAAAAGGTCAATAAAATTAACAAATTTAGGAAGAGAAGACAGAAGATGGCGATAGGAAATAAGACGCAAGTGGTTACTGAAATGAAAGAGAATAAGAAGACTTAGGAAGGAGAAAAGAGAAAATTGGAATGAAAAAGAATAATAAGACAGGAAGACAGAAGATTAATTGGAATGAAAGATTAAGTTAGGAAGACGCATTTGGTTACTTAATTGGAATGAAAGAGAATAAGAAGATTTTAGTAAAGAGAAAAATCAATTAAATAAAAGAACAGGTTTCAGGAAGACAGAAGATGGCGATAATGCCATTAATTGGAATGAAAAAGTGGTAGGAAGAAAGTGAAAGAGAATAAGAATTAATTTTAATAAAGAGAAAGGAAAGAATAAAAGAACAGGTTTAATTGGAAAGAAAGAAGAATGGCGATAACTTAGGAAAGACGCAAGTGGTTAATGAAAATGAAAGAGAATAAGAAGACTTTTAAAGATCTGAGAAAGGAATCAATAAAAGAACAGGTTTTAGGAAGAGAAAGAAGATAATTGATAATGAAACTAAGAAAAAGTGTTTAGAAAGTGAAAAGAGAATGAAGAAGACTTTAGTAAAGAAAAGGTCATTAAAAGAACAGGTTTTAGGAAGAAAGAAGATAATTGGAATGAAAAAGAATTCAAGACGCAAGGAAGTTACTGAGTTTAATTGGAATGAAAGAGAATAGAAGACTTTAGTAAAGAGAAAGAGATTAATTGGAATGAAAAAAAGAAGGTTTAAAGGAAGACGAGAGAAGAATGAAAGAGATAATGCCACTAAAAGAAAAGAGGTTAATTGGAATGAAAAGAATAAGAAGACTTTTAGGAAAAAGGAGAAAGGATCAATGGAATGAAAGAAAGAACAGGTTTTAGGAAGACAGAAGATGGCGAATGAATGAGAATAAGAAGACTTAGGTGGAGACTGAAAGATTAATTGGAATGAAAGAGAAAGAAGACTTTAGTAAAGAGAAAGAAGATTAATTTGGAATGAAAAAGAATAAGAATTTTTAGGAAGGAGAAACAAGATTAATTGAAAATGAAAATTCCATTAAGATTTTATAAAGTGGTTACTGAGGAAGTGAAAGAGAATAAGAAGACTAAAAAGAGAAAAGAGAAATTCTGAAAATATAAAGAACAGGAAAAAGAACAGATTAAAGATGGAATAGAATGCCTTTAGGAAGGAGAAGTGAGATTAATGAAAATGAAAGAGAAATAAGAAGACTTTAGAAGGAGAAAGAGATTAATTGGAATGAAAGAGAATAAAGAAAAAGAACAGGAGAAAGGAAGACAGAAGAATGGCGAATAGGAAGCCACTAAGACGCAAGTGGTTACTGAAATGAAAGAGAATAAGAAGACTTTAGTAAGGAAAAAAGAGATTAATTGGAATGAAAAGAATAAGAGAAGACAGGAAGGAGAAAGAAATTAATTGAAAATGAAAGAGAATAATAACGCAAGAAGGTTAAATGATTTTTTTTTCAAAAAGAGAATAAGAAGACTTTAGTAAGGAGAAAGGTCAATAAAGAACAGGTTCAAAAAAGACAGAAAGATGGAGAAATAATGCCAGAATAAGACGAAAAGTGGTTATTGAATTTGAAAGAGAAAAAGAAGACTTTAGTAAAGAGAAATTGGAATGAAAAGAATAAGAAGACTTAGGAAAGAAGACAGAAATTGAATAAAAAGAATAATGCCACTAAGAACGAGTTTTTGAGATTAATTGGAATGAAAGAGAATAAGAAGACTTTTTTAAAGAGAAAGGTCAATGGAAAAAAAGGTTTCAAAGGAAGTAAGAAGAAATGGCGATTAATGGAATGAAAGAGAAAGTGGTTACTGAAAGAGAAAGAGAATTAATGAAGAGAATTAGAAATTTAGAAAGGAAAAAAAGAACAGGTTAATTGGAAGACAGAAGATGGCGATAATGCCACTAAGAGATTTGGATTAATTGAAAATGAAAGAGAATAAGAAGACTTTTAGTAAAGAGAAAGGTCAATAAAAGAACATTGGAATGAAGACAGAAGATGGCGATAATGAACTAGAAACGCAAGATTAATTGGAATGAAAGAGAATAAGAAGAATTAGAAGGAGAAAGAAGACTTTAGAAAGAGAAAGGTCAATAAAGAACAGGAGAAGGAGATTATTTTGGAAATGAAAGAGAATAATGCCACTAGGAAGGACAAGTGGTTAACTCAAATGTGAAAGAGAATAAGAAGACTTTAGTAAGGAGAAAAAGAACAATAAAAGAAAAGGTTTAAAGGAAGACAGAAGAAATGAGATTTTGGAATGAAAGAGAATGGATTTGGGAACTGAAAAGATTAGAAGAAATGAAAGAGAATAAGAAGACTTAAAAGGAGAAATGGA